TTGAAATTCGAAGAAGAAGAAGAAGAAGAAGAAGAATGTCCATCAATTCCTCGGATCCATGCTTCAGTAGTTCACCTAGAATCCCGTCCTCCATTCTGGTAGGCTCGGGCCCTGGGAACGATTTTCTGTTTCCTCAATCAGCTCAATATCCTGTTCTGTTGATTGTTTTCGGATTTTAAGCTCCCATTCTCTAACGTGGTTGAATTTACGTTGTTTGCTGTTCAGTTTCCGTCGATGTGCTTTCTGAAATCGTAAGCTTTTTGTCATCTTGTTTATTCCATTATCCAAAAATTGTTGAACTTTTTCTTCGATATGTTACTCGAATGCCTCCCGCTTCTCCTTTCGTGCTTTTTCACATTCTCTCCTTAGAGTGCTTTTGGATCAATCCATCAGGAGTTGTTGATGGACCTCAACGTACACACTAAGAAATAACTAATTTTACAAGTGACGGAATCCATTTTTGACATAAAAGATGAGACGTAAACAAACATGTCATGTAATATTAGGTGCTCCGAGACTGAAAAGTTCGTTGCTCGATGAAAAGTACGTTTGATTAAGCTATATTTCGCGCCTGTTAGGCCGTTTGCAATGCTGTTGTAGTTTATAAGATCTGTTTCAATTTGAAACTAGAACAGAAACGCACCTCTCGCAATGCTGAGTTGCAGTTTCATAATTCGAGCACTATATTTAGCACCAGATTTGCAACTGCTCGACTATTCTGTTTTATTTCTGAGCGAGTTTGAAGCACGAATGGAACTCTGTTTCAAATTTCTTTGGATGTGTTTAAAGATGTTTCGAAGCGCTTCACAAACAAAACACGTATAACTTCATAGAGAACAGTAAAGTTTATGGAACTTGATGATTACAAACATCTTTTAGAACTGTGCGTTGCGCTGATCGTGTTGCAGTTTTATTTTTGATAGTTTAAAATTATTGAATTGTCGAGTAATTTAAAACAATTTTGAAACTCAGCATTGCGAACGGCCTAATTATGAATAAAACTCGGCTGATTGAGCATCCTTGTTTTATTCCTCGGTTTTTCCAAATTGACGGAGTTCGTTTTAGTAGTAGTAGTAGTAGTAGTAGTAAAATTATGTTTATTTTTGTTGATTATGGTAGTTCATTGATTTATCATTTCAATTGATTAGCCAACCTGGCTCTTCATCTTTGTTTAATTTGATATCCTAATTTAATATTTGCTTTTGGGGATGTGTTTTAGTTGAATTGAAAAAAGTGATTACCTACCTAACTACGAGTATAACTTAACCTAACGTGCTAGATCACGTATGATCTGATGATATGATCTCAGACAGGTGTCGCTGAACCTTTCCAGGATGAATACTCTCCGTGCTTCTAATGTCTGAATTTCAGCCAGGAAGTGGATCTCAGAATTTCTAATCCGCAAGGGGCCAGTTTAGGACCATCCTAAGGATCTTGTTCTGGATCATTTGGAGTTTCAGGTGATGGCATTTTGCGCAGCTCTCCCAGATTGGCATACCGTACTCGATTACAGGAAGGATGATTTGTTTGTAGACAGCAAACTTATTTTTCAGGGACAGGGTTGACTTCCTGTTGATAAGTGGATACAACGATCTTACCAAGATGTTGCACTTGGTTTTTGTTTTGTCAACGTGCTCCCTGAAAAGAAGCTTGCTGTCTAGTGTTAGCCCGAGGTACACGACCTCTTTGGACCATTCCACCACTGTGCCGTTCAGGCAGATCTTGTTATTCTCCGACGGAACAAGTCTGGAAGATTTAGAGTGTAGAAAGATAATTACCTGGGTCTTTGCCGCGTTGATACGGATCTTCCAGCTGTTGAAGTATTCAGACAGGACGTCCAGGCTTCTCTGAAGTTTGGCAGTCAGAGCTCCGATGACCCTACCCTTGTAGACGATGGATGTGTCATCTGCGAACAGAGACAACGATCCACCATGAGGGAGAGCCGGCATATCGGAGGTGAACAGGTTGAATAGGATGGGGCCAGGGATGCTTCCTTGTGGAACCCCGGCACCGATGTTGAAAGCATCCGATGTGATGCCATTCAGAGAGACTCAGAACGTCCTGTCTGATAGATAGTTGTTTATTATCTTCACTAGGAAAATTGGAAGACCGTACTGCTGCAATTTGAACACCAGGCCATCATGCCAGACATTGTCAAATGCTTTTTCAACGTCCAACAACGCCATGGCAGATGTTTTCGAAACAGACTTGTTCCGTCTGAGAATGTTTGTTACTCGAGTCAGCTGGTGGACGGTCGAACGACCTTTCCGAAAACCAAACTGTTCCTCGAGTAACAAGTTGTTTTCATCGGCAGATGTTAGGAGCCGGTGGTACACTGCTTTTTCGAACAGTTTTGATAATCCCGAGAGAAGGCTGATTGGTCGATAATTTGAAGGAGAGGACGGATCCTTCCCAGGTTTTCGGATTGGTATGACTTTAGCTGACTTCCAACACGAGGGGAAGTAGTCAAGTCTGAGACACTGATTAAAAATCAGTGCCAGATGGTTGTAGAATCTGGAACTCAAGTGTTTGATTAGATCGACACAAAAAGGTTACACTGTGACACAAAAAGGTTACATTTATTTTTTCTACTTGTCAACAGATAAAATAGTTACCCTAATGACAATTTTCTATATCTAAACATCAAAACTGCTTCAAACACAAAATTAACGCAAACATCTCTTAAAGCTACGCTTATTTTTCTCGCGGGACACATTAAAATCAAACACATAATAACAACTATTGAAAACGCGGCACATACTCAACATTGGTTCGTGTATGCCATAGTTGGTCCTCGAACGCCGGTTGTTGAAGAACGCATGCAGCCGGAGGTCCCGTCGTTGAGTGTTGATGTCAAGAAGACTGAGAAGTGTGGAGCAGTCGACGTTCCCTTGCAGAAGATCTGCAACGAAACAAGCCTTCGCCACATTGCGCCTTCCTTCCAAGAGCTCCAGGTCGATGAGGTTACAGCGACTTTCATAGCTCGGCAAGTTACGCGGGTCGCGCCAACGAAGGTGTCGCAACGCAAAGCGAATAAATTTTCGCTGAACAGCTTCAATTCTATGGATGGCATTCTGATAGAATGGCGACCAAACAACGGCAGAGTATTCCAGTATAGGTCAAACCAGGGAACAGTATAAAGCCTTCAGGCAATACACGTCCTTGAAGCTTTTGGCGAAACGGAATAAAAATCCTAGCTGCGATGAAGCTTTAGATACAACATAAGCAATGTGATCCTTGAACGTTAATTTGCAATCGAGCATGACTCCCAAGTCCTTGACAGTCGATTCGCGTTTCAAGCTTATTCCTCTTAAGGTGTAATCGTGGAAATGCATCGCCCGTTTACGGCCAAAGGAGATGACCGAGCACTTGGACACATTTAAAGACATCCTGTTTATCCGGCACCAATCATCAAAGACTTCAAGTTCTTGGTGGAGGAAATGAGCGTCTTGAGGCCCTTTTATTACGTAGTAGAGCTTCATGTCGTCGGCGTACGAGAGTTTAAGGCATTTAAGGATCAAGTTCACGTCGTTCATATACAACAGGAAAAGCAATGGCCCCAGGTGGCTGCCCTGAGGAACACCAGATGTAACAATGAAGGGTGGAGAAGCGTAGTCACCGATCTTAACAGACATAGATCTGCCAGTCAGATAGGAGCGAAGCCAGGTAAGTAGACTCCCATGAACACCCATTTTGTCATATTTAGAGATGGTAATTTCATGGTTCACTCTATCGAAAGCTGCAGAGAGGTCGGTGTATATGGCGTCAACTTGATGGCCACGTTCAATCTCACGAATAATGAACGATGTAAAAACAGTTAGATTAGTCGTCGTCGAGCGCTTAGGCATGAAGCCGTGTTGATCCTGAGAAATACTGTACGAGCAGTCTTGAACCAACTTTTCCAGGACAATTAGCTCGAATAGTTTGGAGATAGCACTAAATGCAGCTATTCCGCGGTAATTGGCGACAGTCTGCTTGCATCCTTTTTTGTGAACAGGGAAAACAAACGAATCCTTCCAACATTCTGGAAAAACTCCGGAGGTCATTGACAAGTTGAAGACCTTAGCTAAGGGCTCTGAAAGAGTGTCTAAGCAACGTTTCAGTACTAATGAGGGAATGCCATCTGGACCAGATCCTGTTGATGTTTTCATCTGTTTCCCGGCTGAAATCATCATGTCGCTGTGGATGGTGAATGGAGAACCAAACACTGACGTACGAGGGACATTACTCGTGGCAGCAGCAATTTCCTGAGCATCAAGAACTTCGTCTGAAAAAACGCTGCTGAATTGTGTGCGAAACATATTGGCGATATCTGCGACGGAGTTGGCATCAGTAACGCCATCAGTCATATTGGACGGCAATCCCGTTTCTTTCCGTTGCTCGTTCACATATCGCCAGAATTCCTTAGGATTAGCTTTGAGACGACTCTGCAAGTGAGACTGATGTGCGTTGTACAGGCTTGCATTGAGATCTCTGTACTCGTTGTACTCGTACATTGAGATCAGATTAGTCACATTTTATGACGTAACTTCATTTTGACTTGATATCTAACTGCATATATTTCATGGTTACTTTTACATTGGGGTCGCTTCTTACAACTTTAGCTGCAGGACAACTTATACAGACAAAAATTAGCTGTATTACATCAGCGCACAGGTCTATAACAAACAACAAACTGAAAATTGAAGAAATTGTTGAAATACATGAGATCGAGTCAGTCTTTCGAACTTTAATTTTGTGCTAGAAACAGAATATAAACAAACCCATTAACAAACATAGGCCCATCCGAGTATTTTTCATATTTTTTTTCCATTTCAATATGACTTGAGTAAGAGCCACCAGAATCCGAATCAAGAAAATACTCGTGCGCCATTCCACATCAAATAGCCGATAAAAATGCAATCATTCCTAACCTACATTTTTCCACTCAACTCGCAATATATTCATTCCACAATATTTTCATCGCAATCTTCTCTTCTCCCCCCCCCCCCCCCACACAGGGCCATCAGTTCACCGAAACGACGCACCAATAACCACAGTTCCCCAACCGGTGGTCCATCATCGTCGTCGTCGTTGCTGGCAGCATCCGGGAATGTAAGCGCTGCCCCACGGACCCAGCAGCGATCGGCCCAGAATCGACGCAAATCGCATTCGCCATCGACGACGACGGCAACGACGGCGGCGGCGGCGGCGGCGGCGGCGCCTACGACAGCAACGGCGAGTGAGATGGCACTTTCAACCAACGGCAATAGCAACAGCAAGCAGAATACGTTATGAATATGCATTCACCATTCTTCCGCTCTTCGACGCTCGTGGTGGCAACTTGACGCATCGACCGGCGGCCGCTACGATGCACCAGCCTTCAAACAACAACGGTGGTCGGATGGGCACGTGACTATGACGACATTTTACGACCGTGGGTGGCTGCCAGTGAAGACCCCAGAACAGATGCCACCTCGGAAGAATCGCATCACCATCACCATCATCCTGCTGCTTGTCGTCCCCACTGCTGAGGTCAAATCGTTGACGCTGTGGAGATGAAAGTTGGTAGGAAGTCGTTTCGATCCGGTGGGTCTCGGATTGGATGGAGTGGTGCTGGTTGGTGGTGTGTATGAAAATGGGCCATCATTACTCGAATATTTATATCTATTCTTAGGGAGATGTGTGCTGTGAATATTAAATTTTAGTAGCGCACTTGGTACAAAAAAAAAATGGCAGAAGGAAGTGGCACGATTCTAGGTGAGATGGGAGGAGGGAATGGGAAGAGGTCTATTACAACGTATTACATGGCTTGCTTGCCACATTTGAATTTTGGCTGATTGTGGTATTCATTGATGTGGTTTATAATAAATTGTGAACGATGCTTCGTAGCAATGCTAAATGTCGTTAAATATTAATCAATGGTACACCGATTACCAACACAGGTTTCATAATTTGTTGGAATGCTGTTCTAGATTGTAGGTGGCGACCAGTCACTGATTATTTATGCGCCAGAAAGTGGGGATAAAGGGCTACAATTTGTTAAAAATAATGTTTTACATATTTGGCATACCTACTGTTGTGAGCTCTCTATTGATGCTTGTGGTGTGGGTTGTGGTGGTAAAAGAAAAATACTTTCAGAACGGCCAATGATATCAACCCAAATTTGAGTTCAGTTTACTCATAAATCGTAAATTTGTCTCAAATGTTTTTCCAGGTTTTAAAGATTGGATTCCCTCAGTCTATGCCTCGACGGTAGAGTCAGTGATGTTTGCACGTTTCTTTTGCTTTCAAAACAGCATCAATGTTCCGGTAGAATATCTTTCCCAGCAGAACACCTTACCCATATAAACGCCAGTTACGTGCAAGGCCAGAACCTGGATCTACCGGTAGTAGAAAAGAAATACATCGATCAAGGAGGCATACAACATCGGTTTTCATAACATTGAAACCGTCTTCAGTGTAATAAATTCGTTCGACGTTCTCCGGTTCCGTTACGACGAAGTAAACAAAAAGTTTATGCCAAACAGTGGAAACTTGAATTCCTGAGTAACTTTCATCGTTCATGTTCTTGAGATATTCAACCGAATCCCGCTATTAGTTCATAATTAAACCTGTTTCCTTTGGGACATACTTGTTGGTCTAATCCAATGTACCACACACTTAATCTAGTTCGGTTAAATCTCCAACATCTGATTGGCTCGGCATTCATTTTTACTGGTACTTCTGCAATATATCTGTTTGTTAGAATGCAAGCAATACCATGCTGGAAGTTGCTGGGTTCGATTCCCGGTCCGGTCTAGGAATTTTTCGGGTTGGAAAATGTCTTCACTTTCCAAGGCATAGAATTTTATCGTACTTGCCACACAATATATACTAATGGAAAAATGGTACGGGCATCGAAAGCTCCCAATTAATAACTCTGAAAGTGCATCTAGATCACTAAGTTGAGAGCATGCAATAAGCAAGAAGAAGAAGAAGAATCGGTAGTCGAAATCTAGACAGTAAAAATTAAATGCACACCCCCAGGATGGAACCCACGATTTTCTACTCCGGCAGCAAAAACGGTCGCCACTAGACCATCAAGCCCCTTATATCGGAACAAACACCTGCGACAGCCTTAATTGTTATGGAATACATAGCTAAGTGTTTTTACATTGTTCCTGCCTTGGCAATTCAGAATTTTAAGCAGGTTTTCTATACCTGCGTGTCAGCATAACAACTGTCATTTTTAAACTAAAAACTAAAACTAAATCGTATCTACTTAATTGTTGCAATGGAGGATTGCAACGATTTTTGCCAGAAATTATTGATTATTTTGTTAAACATTTGTTCTAAAGTCTCAACAATAAATGTACCTCGGTAGTACTGTACCAGCTGGGCAACTTCAAAAGTGCTTTTTTCCTGGTAGGGCAACAGCTAAACCAAATTGGCAGAAGATTATTTGTTAGGCAAAGTTTGGATTTCTTGTTTATAAAAGGGATACAAACATTTTATATATTTGTTAAATTTGGCTTGAATGAAGGCATGTAAAAGTTAAAAGATATTTCACTTGGTTTGACCAGGAAATTGGAACTCCGTTCATAGTGACTATGTGACTACTACTAGGTTTCAAAAAGGAAGCTCTAGGCTTATGTGGAAATAGTATAAGTTGAGTTTTGGAAGTGTTGGGAGACATATATGTTTGGAAACCCTGCGGCAAATCAGGGAGGTCGAAAGTGAAAATGTTATACAATATAGGCCCAAGAATGCTACCCTCAGGAACTCCAGCCCTAACAGGTAGAGCAACTCCAGTTGAGCAGCCTTCAGATTTGTTTGAACAAATTAAAATGGTAACTCTTAAGAGTTGATGAGTAGTTGAATGCCCATGGCGAAACCCAAACTGCTCATCTGCAAAAATTGAGTTCGTATTGATGTGAAGCATCATTCTATTCAAAATAATGTTTTCAAAAAGTTTACTTATTGAAGAAAGCAAACTTATTGGATGGTAGCTAAAAGCTTCAGCTGGATTTTTATCCGGCTTCAAAATTGGAGCAACTTTGGCATGTTTTCCATTTATTAGGAAAGTAAACCAAATGAAGACATCTATTAAATAATTTTACGATGAAAGACAATGTACTCTATGGGAGTTTTTTGATGAGGATATGGAAAATTCCATCATCACCTGGAGCTTTCATATTTGGATTTTTTTTAGTTATACGAATTCCCTCCTAGGGATCTCCCTTAGCTCAGTCGGTAAAGGCGCAGCTACAAAGCAAGACCATGCTGGAAGTGGCTGGGTTCGATTCCCGGTCCGATCTAGGAATTTCTTGACTTCCTTAGGCATAGAGTATGATTGTACAATTATACTAATGCAAAAATGGTTTCAGGCATCGAAACTGTCAATTAATAACTGTGGAAGTGCATCTAGAACACTTAGTTGAGAGCACACAATTAGCTAATATACGATAAGCAATAAGCTTGAAAGCTTGAAGAATAAGAAGATGATCTTAATTCAACCAGATCAGTACCCCAGGAATCTTCAAAAAAATCTTCCCGCGATGAAATGTTCAGATAACCCCGAGCAACCTGATTCTTGATATTGCCTCCTACGGACATTTTTCATATGGATCAAGAGCTGAAGATCATCGTCTATTATAATTGAATCGAATTTAACGTCGCATTTTAGTACTGATGCAGCTCTTGCTTCAACTATAGAAGTAGTCAGAGATTCAAGAGCATAATTAATTTCATCTTTGGTTTGCAAATGAATGTTTGGATCGAAGTTATCTTCCATAAATGTTCGATATTGCTCCCAATCAGCTCTATGGTAATTTCAAGTAGAGCTGTTGGGATTAGAAATTATTTCTTGGGATATTTCAAAAGTTACTGGAAGGTGATCAGAACCGAAGTCAGCATGGGTAACCAATTGGCTACAAAGTTGACATGAATCGGTTAAGACCAAATCTATAGTTGAGGGATTTCTTGCTGAAGGAAAGCATGGTGGGCCTGGATACTGAATTGTGTAATAACGTGCAGGATAATCATCACACAGAATACTACCATTGAAATTTATTTCAGCATTATTCCATGAGCGGTGTTTTGCAATATAATCACCAATAATGAAGAATTTAGACATATGACTGGTAAATTTCTTAAGGTCAGCCTTGAGAAAATTCATTTGATGGCCTCCGCATTGAAATGGCAAATAGGCAGCTATAAAAGTAAGTTGTCCAAATTTTGTTTGGACAGAAACTCTCAATGTTTCAAAAACTTTGGTTTCTAACAAAGAAAGGATGTTTGATTCTTCTATTAAAAATGATGAACAGGCATTCAGTTTTGGTGTAGTAAGTAAAAAATGTGGTACTTGAAAAGACGTTTGAATCCGTCCAAGGTTTCAGCCAATACACCGCATTCACCCCCACGACCAATTTGAAGTGAAAACATAAATTGAACGAAGCTCAAAAGTTCCTTGCTAAGAGCATGGCAATCGGAAGTGATTGAATCAATAGGGGAAACCTTTTCCTTTTCGGCACTAAGCCGGGAATGTTTAGTTGAATTTTGCCTATATGATGAATCATTCTCATCATCCGTAAGCATATCAAATTGATTGTTAAATTGAATTTAATCAGAAAGGGGATCAAGCGTTTGACCTTTTTCTATTGCACTTAGGCGCCATGGCGGTAGAACCAAGATTCTCTAAATCGATTTCCAAACAGATTACTGTAAGAATCCGAAGGATCAAAGAAGAATTTTCCAAGTCGATGGCCAAGCAGGATTACCTTGGGTAGGGTTCAAACAAGGATTGAAGAGGAATTAGAGTCAAACAAGGTTGAAATTTTACAGGTTGAGCACTGAAAAGTGCTGTTTAAATTTGTTGTATCTTTAGGGACCTAGAAGCAGGGTTGCTTCCACTCAATTGCTATAATTTTTTTCGGAATTATTAAATCATTAGATGATATGTTGTACTTGCAAATAACAAGAAGACGGTGTAAGGTGTGTGTTTGACTCATAAAACTTGTCAATTTCGCTTTCAGAGCGTCATAATCAACGATCTTTTGATTCGTGAGCTTTCACAGAGTGAGCGCCAGATTGGCAGATTGGTAGACGAAAATTCTTGCAGTCTGCTATTTTCAACAGAAATTTCGTATTAGCATAAATAAAACGCTTTTCAACTGTATTTTAGTCTTTCCCGTTTATTTATGTCATCCAAGGGGTAATCAACTCTGCACATTGTGCCGAAACACATCGCGGCACACTGATCGGCACGTCGTGGCACACGATGGCAAGTATGCCACAAAATATAATATAAAACGGCA